AGATTCTCATCACAGGTCGGTGTAGTAAGAGAACCATCATACCGAACAGTTTGGTACCCGCATCTTGGGGATTAGAGCATACAAGTCTACGATGGGATGAATAGTGTCATTTTGATGGCATCGAGGATCTTCTCAAACTCCTCATTGGCTTCACCAATACCAAAAAGGACTCCAATCACAGCCAAACCACCGGCCTTCCCTTTAGCGTCATCAACACTCCCATACTTCTCGTTGTAATGGACGAAGTGAAGCTCCATCGGAGAGGCGACACCCTCGAACAGATGTTCACTGCCGTACTCGTCCGTCAATCCCCAATGAGCATGAAATTCGCTCAAAATGAAGGTGTCGTTTTCATACCCGCGGACGTTACCAATTTTGCATCGCTTCTCATCGTCATCTTCATCGACTATCACATTGATACGATAATCAGAAATACTCAAAGTAGCAAAATCGTAGGTAATTTGAAGATCATTCATCATGACTGACTGATCGATAACAGCGGCAGTCTGAATAGATATCGGTGATTGGGATGTACCATTGGTACATATACCAGGCCAGGAAGATTGATCATCATAGGACCAATCAGCACCATAGGCATATGACTGGAATATGACGATGATCATAAGGTCATTCATTACTAGATGGTATGCGAGGGAACTGACTTGTCAGAACTTGCCAAAATTGGTCAGGTATTCGCATTGTTGAATTTATTCCGCGTCGCGCGGAGGAATCCACCACTCGCGTGGTGGAAATGGAACAAAATGAAGAAGCTCCCTCTGTCCTTGAGTATACCTGTTTCATAGCAGCAAATTGCGGCTTAAACTCAAGTAACGCCCCAAGTATACCTCAAGTAATTAGGACATTCTGTTTCACTGCCCAAGCAAGCACATTAATGCGCCTTAGGTTTAGAAATACTCTAGGCGTCTTTGGTCTCTGCCGCAGAGATGAATACTTGAGTATATGCGCAGAAACTCTGCGCATATACTCAAGTATTTACGGAATGCTGCATTCCGGATGCATTTTACAACAAGCGTACTTAAGGGAAGACTTGAGAGCTCCTTGGATTTGATTGAGGTAGAGTCGAACCTACCTGAACAGATACTCAAGTACCATGTTGGAATATTTCACCCCATAGGGGTTGAGTGACACTCAATGAGTGTGCCGACGGTGCGTGTCTACAACCTCTTCGGTAATTGCTCCCCGGAGTGATGGGAATGGGATAGAATGAAGGAACTCCTTCTGTTCTTGAGTATATCTGGTAATCTTCCCTACATCCCGTATATAATAGTATACTATACCATTATATACGGGAAGATTCGTGCACCTCACGGTTTCCTCTCCGCAGTGCGAATTGATGGCGGAGCGACGGGATTATCCGTATTGATGTTCAACTTATGAATGAAGATAGGTGCAGTAT